CCAAAAACCTTTGGTTAAAGGGGAGAGGTACCAGTAGGCTTAATGCCACTGGGAAAGAAAAAACATACCTTTAGACCTAGCTTTCAAGCTTCTTTCTTGTATAGTCATTTTTCTTTTCCATTTTTGCCCAAAGGCTTCCAAATGCCAGAGTAGATATTTTGGCTATGTCCATGCAGATGAATATTTTTCTTTTGACATCTATTTTATGTTTTTGTCGTAAATGTAAACAATAATCTGTGTATTAATCTGTCTATCAATTACCCCTTCAAATATGACAGCAGACGCTCCATTTAGCAGTGGTCCATATGTGACATAGCTGTGCCCAGTGATCCAACCACAGTCAGCTGTACACCTAAAACAGAGATAAAGCTATGTTCAGTGACAAGAAAAAAGGGGGAATCAGCATAAATCAGCTTCTTTAACATGAGAAGATCAAATTAACATTAATGATAAGCACAGGGTTTTTAAGGATACCAGTAGATGTCAGATGGCTTGTAATCAAATGCATATTTAAATGTTGTTGCAGTGTACACCATATATCCTCCAGTTGTGTGGACAACTCCCTATAAGAGACTAATATTAGAAGAAGCCCAAAAAAGAAGAAGGGAAAGATGAATTAAAGTACGGAACATATGTACCTTCGGCTTGCCAGTGCTCCCACTAGTATAGAGCAGAAAAAGTGGATCTTCTGCATCAACCCACTCCACTGCACAAGTAGTAGGATATTTAGGTATGACATCCTGGAAGATAATCATGAGTCATCAGTCACAACCGTCCATAAAACAAACATTCAAGCCATTTAAAAGCATATGATGAAACACTAATATAGGAAGAATACATGCATGTTACAGATAAAAGCACTCTTTCTTTCATGGAAATCTGTATAAAGAGGTGCTAGTACTACTACTAACCTGCCACCATACATCTCTTTCTTCTTGCCATTTGGTACTTTCCTTCTTCATAGCCGATTGATTTTCATAAGTTAAGCATACATCTGCTCAAATAGGGAATCATACATCCATTATACTAAAAAAGAAAAGCAAATCAATCCTTGGTCTTAGAAAATATATATATATATATATATATATAGAGGATTGGTCTGTTATGGTTGATTACTGTACTTATGGAAATGATTTTTGCAAATAACGTCAGATCCAGACAATCTTAAATCCAAACCTGCCTCTCAATGGATGCCCAATAGAAACCTAACAATTTTCTCAACTTTCAGTAAGTTCAATTTTTTTTCTCGAACTAAGTTAAGGTTTAATAAAAGAAACAGGATACCACTACCAAATACATTTTTTTGAAAAAATGAAAAACTAACAAAAGGGAGACAGTAAATAATATAATGAGGAAACTGTAAAATTAAATTTATCCTATCCTGAGACAGAAGTAATTAGATAGATGTGTGCATAAATCACATAGCAATTAGCAAATTTCCATACCTACAGAAACCCCACTTTGGGATGATTCAAAAAGGGCAGCATCAACTATATCTTTGAGGTGGATGACCTTAGAACCCCTTTTAACAGCATTGCAAGTGATTACAACTTTCGGTTTGCAATCCACAATTCTTTGAGCAAGAGATTCTGCGGAAAATCCAGCAAAGACAACCTGAAAGAATGGAAAAGGCAAAATTAGAAAAAAGAAAGAGTTGTGGATGTTGGAAAGCAAAGAGTAACATGGTGCAATACCGAGTGAACTGCACCAATGCGAGCACAAGCAAGCATTGTGATTGGAAGTTCCATTAACATTGGTAAGTAAACCACAACAGCATCGCCCTTTTTAACTCCAATATCTTTCAAATAGTTTGCAAGCTGCGAGCAGTAGAGGTAAGAGAAGGTGAGATAATTGATTAGCAACTCACAGAATGAAGACCCAATCTCTTGTTTTCTATTCTTGTTGTTTTTAATGATTAAATTTTGTATTGAATTTTATGCATGCGTGGGAGTGTGTGCGAGAGAGAGAAAGAGAGTGATAATGCAAATGTAAATGTAAGGAATAATGATAGACCTGGCAAACGTTGTGGAGAAGCTGGATGTACGTTAAAGTGGCATCAACACCAGGTTCATTGCCTTCCCAGTAAAGGGCAATTTTGTCACCAAGTCCAGCTTCAACATTTGAGTCAAGGCAATTGTAGCAGATGTTGGTGATACCGCCCTTGAACCACTGCTCAAAACATCAAAACACAGATGGTGGTCAAAAGGAAGAGGAAAAGGAAATCAAAGGGGGAAAACGAAATCCACCACGCTGATCACCTCAATTCTGATATTGCCTTTCCTGACATCGAGATTCTCCAAGTAGACTTGTTGGCCCCATTTCTGTTTCCAATAGAAGCTGGAAGCAATATCCGACCAAAACCCCGCGGGGTCCTCGATGGACCTCTTATACATCTCCAGATACTGACGAGGACGATGATGATAAATTGATAAAGGTATTGGTTAAATCAATAAGATTAGATGTTATATGGACAGAAAACGAACAAACAAAAGAGAAAAATGAAAAGAGAGAGAGTTGTAGTAGTTACCTTGCGGGGAGAGGGAACATGAGCCTGGCGGGAGAAGTCGTCGCTGGGGAAGATGAGATCGTTCTCTTCGGAAGCGAGTGCTTCTCCCAAAACGATGGCGTTGAGGTGGGGAATGTTTCCAGCGCCAGAAGGCATTGTAGCCATGGACTCCACATGCCGCAGATGATTGGTTGTGGTAATGTTGTTGGCAGATGATGATTCCATGCTCCAAATCACCTTATTATTAGTAGTGCTCATAATGCTGCTGCCGCTACTGGTGCCCCAAGCCCAGGATTTAAATCTGGATCTTCCCCACAAAGAAGAAGAAGTAAGACTAAGAGGAGGAGGAGGAGGAGTAGGAGGAACCGAATTTGGTATTGACTTTCTTCTCTTGGGCTCGGAATACGACGTTAGTATGGCTACCGGCGGAGGTTCAGCAACAATTATATTATAATAATTCGTATTGTAATATTGAGCGACCATTCTACCTGTCTGTCTTTCTGCCTAACCTCCCTCTTGCTTGCTCAATTATTATAATGAGTTATGAATTATGACTTTTTGCCACCTTTATGTGTTTTTTTAATTTTAAAAAAAGGAAAATTAGTTTATTTTCCACCCCGTGAGCGTGAGATGTGATCATCGATCAGGTCAGTCAGCGTAACGGATGGTGGATGCTTATCTTCTATTTTGCCATTCCATTTTTTCAAAATCTCATCTCATGATTATTAAACAACATTAACCTAAAAATAAAATAATAATAATAAGGCTTTTATCACAAAACGTCCTGACGTTTGCGAAATTATCAGATTGCATCCTTAAAGTTTTTTTGTATCATTTACGGTCCCTAACGTTAATATAAGTTCTCTTAAATAGTTCATTTGTCAAAAAAATCGTTAAATTCAGAGATATAATCGTCAAATCAATCCAAAATTATAAAATATATATATTTTTTAAATTCCTTCCCTTCTATCTCTTTCTTTCTTCTTCTTCTTCTTCTTCTTTTTTCTCCCTTTTTTTTTTTTCTTCTTCTTCTTTCTCTCCGCCTGATAGGTTATATATATGAAAAAAAAACATAAGCACTACATACGACCAGCAACTCAGAATTGATATTCACTTCACCTGGATTTCATTTCTTTTGACGGTCTCAAGAGAATCATCCCTGTAGCCAGTAATGCCCTCATCCACTGACAACAGGAAAAGATCCAGGCCATAATTGGGTCGCCTATTCAATTCCGATAACACATAAGCAAGGACAGTGGAATCTGGCAGTATTAAATAACATAAAAAGCAATTATCAGAAGAAAAGCCGAGGTCCACATAACTTCTACAATCTAATATGGCATTAACTAGTATCACAAGCATAGCTTGGTTAGTTTAACTTTCCCACCAGAGGCGCCTAGCAATGCTCTCACCATGCTTAAATAACTGGTTTTCAACAATTACCTGATGGACCTCCTCCTCAAATACCTCATAGAAACATTCCCTGCAAATCTTCATAAACAATCATCGATTTCAATTTTGTTTTCTAAAAGAAAAAAAAAAAACTCAGGCGGTTCTGTTCTAGGGTTTTATAATAAACGCGTACCACAAAATACAGTTGACGAGTTTATGTATCTCGTCTCAGCTTCTTGGCAAACAAACAGAAGGTAGTTTAAATAGGTTTCCATGATCGGAGTAGGCAAAATTACCTGCTCTAGGGTTTTGGGCCTCTTCAGGACAGCTTTTTTCTGATGACAGAGGCAGCACAGGCGAGCCCCAGCCTTCTTGGCCTTGCCGTCGGCTGACTCCTCCATTCAACGTCACTGCACTTGGTGGAAAGCTCAGGAGCTGCGAACGAGAGATAATCACAAACAAGAGTTCTCACTTTTTTCGGAAATTCACAACGGTCCTCTCAGAAATTGTTTACGACTCGATAGTCAATAGTTAATACTAGTGTATATGGAACTTCTGCAGAATATTTTTCTGCGCGCCTCCTTTTTCTCACTTCCAAGTCGATTTTATTTTTTTCGTTTCGAAAACACTCATTCGATTCTGTATGTTTTCATAAAGGCCTTGGCCTTCCAATAACCCAAAAAGGAAATAAAAAGGCCCTACGCCTCCCAAATGGATCGGATTTTGATCCGATAATCCGTTATGTAATTCGATTTTTTTTTTTTTGGGGTAAATTTTGTAATCCAAATTTTAGGATTCATTTATACGCCGAATTTGATGTTGTTATAATCTGATTTCAGCGTTTGAGTGTAGCGCCATGGATATAAATGTAGGAAAGTGGCTGAGCTTCATTAGCTTATATTCTTGAGCGTTTTTGTCCAAAAATATGATAACAAAAAACTGAATCATTAGACATTTATAAGAGGCATTACCAAAAAATAAAACGATAATATAAAAGAGAGCTTCTTATATATCTTTTTGTTGAACTGAGTAGTCGAACATTACTGAAAAACTGTAAGTTAATCTGATGATGTGTTTGTTTACAATAAAAATCAATTAAAAATTTATAAAACTGGTTCACACAACAACGAACCAGATGGTACTATATCCAAAGCAAATCAAATCCCCAATCCTAATTTGTACATCAGATTCTCAACAATCTGTAAAACAAATTTCAAGTGACAGCTTGTAAAAACATGAGCAAACCCACACTACTTCCACATGCCGACCAACAATGGGAATCCATATTCCATAGCAACACACACCCGCAAAGCAATAATACTAGCACTTGTCCTGCCCCGAATTACCCTCAAGACGTCTACGTATGTCCCTTTGTAATATCTCAACGTATTCCTGCACAAGTGGAAAAGAGAATTATCAAAATATGGTAAGGATAGCATCTTCTGAAGAAGAGACACATGTCAAAGCATAGAACACATACTCTGGAGAGACCATCGTCCCCGCACAACTCATCCACAAGTTCTTGTGGACCACTTCCTCTGCCAGACAGCTCAACTGCATTTTCAACTACAGCGTGAAAAACATCTCCTGGTGCATTCAGGTTCCCAATCCTCTGAACCACTTCTTGCAGGTTAATCTATAGAGCATGAAACGGAGAAAAAAAAAATTACAATTCACGGCTTAAGTCAGAAAAAAAAGAAATCAACATCTTACACATATCAATTGAGTTAGGTTCGAATAATCTTGGTTTTGCATCAGATATACGGTAAAAGTAATAGTTCCACAAACAGACAACACATACATAAGTTATTCTCCAGATACAAACTATACCAAGCAACCACTCCAAAATCGACTTTAATTCCCAAGATAGAAGCAGATAATGTTACGAGTGAAACTTAACATGTGCATGTGAAGTAAAACACCACATTAATGGCAAAAAATGAAGAAGACAATGTATCTATTAAAAAAAAGGTGAAATTTAATTAAAATCAGTATGAAACCTAGTATATGCTGATTCACTATAACTCTTAGTCTAGGCATTAAATTCCCTCTCAAGCTAAGTAAGTGGTCCATGCAGGATTTGACCAGCAGCACATAACAACTAATATCTGCAATCTAGAAACGAGCTTTAGATGAATATACAAGTTATGAAGTCCATACAAACCTCAGGATTTGGGACATTATCATCTCTGCTGAGACTTCTCTCATTGTATGGTGGATGAGATTCAGGTTCCAAAACAGGGTTTGGTTGGCCGACCCCAGCCCCAAGGGCTCGAGATACAATGGGCATCATTTGTTGGAACATCCTGGACATGTCAATCCCGCCACCTTGGCCTCCTCCAAGTCCTGCAAACATGTTTCCAATATCTTGGCTGTCAACCTGTTCAGCAATCTGATTGACAGCATTCCTCATCTGTGGACTCTGTGTAAAGTTCTGCAACATATTCCTCAATGCATCAGGAGAACCCGCTCCAGTTTGCTCTGAAACACCTGCCAACAAACCATTCAGGGCAGGACTACGCAAAACCTGAGACATCATGCTTCCCATATCAACTTGGTCAACAGAACCTTGCGCTCCCAATGTTCTACCATCTCTGACCTGCCCAATAGCAGGGGCTGTTTGTCTTGCAGGCGCATCACCTGTGTTCATCCTATTAACAGCAGAACCACGATCAAACTCTACTAACAATTTTAAAATTGAAAATTATAAAAAAAGTGGAAGAGGAAGGGCGGTTTTGTTTGACATGTTTAAAAGAAGCGAACAACCTTTTCCTAGGGTGGGCACAACCAAGGTCTAAAATATCGATGATATCGGAAATATCGGTATTTCAAAAATACGGAAATTTTGATGGAAATATCAAGATATTATTGATATCGATAAAAATTGATTAAAAACCACGGAAATTGTAAGAAAAACTTTGAACTTTTTATTGAAACTTTAGAGGATGTTTATTTAGTCAATTATCTATTAGTTTATCACAAAAGATTGAAAGGAAATGCATTGCATTATAGGTTTAACTAATTTAAGTTGATTATATAACGAACTGACAAACATTGTGAGTGTAGAAAATATATAGTAATTAATGAAAGAAGATTAAACACACCATAATCATTTATATATAATGATTTACTACAATATTCTACACTTTATACATTGTATGATAAGATACATAAGTGACTTAGTACCACATAGAGTTCCCAGTTGCGTATTATCACAAAAACATAAGCAACAGAGTAGTTAAGGCGTTGGATGAGTGAAATGGCAAGGGTTCAAATCCCCTTTGCGTGTGTGCTTTGTGTTTTTTTTTTTCTTTCCTTTTTTCCATTACATCAATATTTTCAATATTATAGCGATATTGTAGCGATATTTTGATAAGATATTGATTTAAGAATGGAACTCTCTGTTCAACATTTACTATAGTCTCTTCAGTTCAGAAAATTACTCTGTTCATTAGTACTACAAACTAATAAAGGAAGAAGCACTACAAATCAACGAGGAACAATTCCAAGATCAAGGAGGTCAAGCCGTCCAAACACCTGGTCTCGGTCTGGTCACTAGCAAAGCTTAAGCTCATCATTTGCCAAATCCGTAACCATGAGATCAGAGTCTGGTTTCATATCTTTTTTCAAAGACAATACCTTGTCCTTGGTCTTGGTCTTGCTGTGGCACACATATATTGTTACGTAATCAAAATCCAGTCATTTATCAGTCAGATAGTCAACCCAGATCATACTTGAAGCTCCCAAGTGCATATACGAACTCAGACTCTTAAGCAATCTAACTCCTCTGCACAAGTGAACGATGATTGTCGTTGTCCCCTGCTTTATATCTGTTTTGCTTTACAGGCATGGATTGCGCTAATTTGCATACCTCATCTAACATATCAGCACGGCTATATAGTTCAATCATGCAAGTGTAATGTTCTAAAATAGGCGTAATACCATAGTGTTTACTCATGTATTTGAAATACATACAACCAGCCTCCAGATTATTTGTATGCAAACAAGCAGATAAAACACCTACAAAAGTGATTGCATCTGGCCTTACGTTCACCTTCTCCATCTCTGCGAAAAGGGCAAGGGCTTCCTCTCCAAACCCATGTACACCCAAGCTTGTGATCATTGCATTCCATGTAGCCAAGCTCTTGATTCGCATTTCGTCAAATACTCTCCTTGCATCCTCTAAACTACCACATTTGCTATACGTATCAATAAGAGCTGTCCCAAGGAAAACATCAAGTTTAAATCCATTTTTAAGAGCAAAGTCGTGAATCCATCTACCCAATTTGAGGCTCCCCAATTGGGTACAAGCTTTCAGCAAGCTTACCAGCGTGAATTCGTTTGGCCTAACATCACCAACCTGCATTCTCCAGAACAGCTCAAAAGCCTCTTCAGGTTGCTGATTTCTAACATACCCATTCATCATTGCTGTCCATGAAAAAACATTTTTAGTTGGCATTCGCTCAAAAACCGCTCGGGCAGCATGCAATTCCCCACAAGCAACTAGCCCCGAAATCATGGTTGTCCATGAAACTACATTTCGTACGCGCATTTTTTCAAACACCCTGCATCCACAATCTATTTCTCCACACTTGAAGTAGAAGTCCATTAAAGTATTTTGAACAAACATGTCTCTGGAGAAACTATTTTTTATTGATAACCCATGAACCACTTTTCCTTGCTCAAATGCAGAAGAAGCAATGCAAGCTTTGATAACAAACGGAAAGGTGAACTTATCGGGTGGAAATCCTTGGCGTATCATAAGGCCATACAGAAGGAGGGCTTCTTGTGAGCAGCCGTTCATGGTATAGGACATGATCATTAGATTCCAAGTAAAAGTAAGGGGGCCTTGGATTTGATGGAATATGAGAGTGGCATAGTCCATTTTCCCATAAGAAGAGCAAAGGTGAATGAGTTTCCTGATAAGTAATTGATCGTGAGAAAGACCATTCCGGATAATCTTAGCATGGATTTGCTTGAGATGTTTGAAAGTGGCGCAATTTTGGAGTAAGGTGAGAGCTTCCTGAGAACCGAATTTGGTTACCCTAGAACTGGTGAATAGGTTACTTTTGGGGAGAACCTCGGGAGTACATGAAAGGCATGCAACCATCATAACAGAATTGTCTTCTTTTCGGTACACAAACAAACAGAAGCGTGTCTTTCTGCAAACACTGAGTGTGAGACCTTTAACAACAATTCGACCTGCCGATTGCCTGCCTGAGAGTGTGAACGGCAGGAACTATATGAGGTGTCAAATGAAGGAATGGAAAATGAATGAGAAACAACACTTGGCTTGAAAAGACTCGAGCAAATTATAGATTAAATATGGTCCCCTTTGAGCTTAAGATCCTAGGCTCCATAATATATGAATGCAACTAATTCTTGACAATTTGATTGGGAGAAGTAAGGTGGGATCTGTTGTACAAATCACAGAGGTAGGGTGAATCCCCTCCCATATCCCATATCCCATATCCCAAACTCAGGGGTGGGTTTTTGTTTGGGGCTAATGATGCATAGCATACTAATAACTATACTAATCAAATCTTACTCATTCCTCCCACGTCGTTTTCTGAAATCTAAAATGAATATGAATTTTCGGTGAACGTTGGCCTTTATAAAATGTTAAGCTAAAAAGAAAAACAAGAAGAAAGGACAGAATGTTACCTCTCCTTCCTCTATTGCCCAATAGCAAAATCAATTCCAGACTGGGAACTTGGGAAGAGGAGGATAGAGCTCAGTCAAAGTAATACTCGGCTTCAACTTTCGTCTTCCGCTCTATTTACTTTACATACTGCAGATTGCAATTGCATAGCCTTATATCATAATTCATCATCAGCTAAGATGTCTTTTTTTTAACTGAATCTGCATGGCCCATAAACACCATCACCCTCTCTTTTTCTTTTTTCCCCTTCCCCTTAACGAAAATTGACTTGGGCAACCCAGAAAGCGAACCCCGTCCTCCTCTTTCTCCGGCCGGTATTGGATACAGCAGCAAGGTCTCCTTTAGCCGTTTATTTAAAACGCCTGATAATTCTAGGGCCTCTCTCTCTCTCAAGTCTCGACTAGCTCTAGCTAGCTGGATAGCGGCATCATGACCCGTATCACTTAACCCGTGACCCATCCGACGAAATTATATAAGTAACGACATATCATGAGATGCCGTTCAAAGGGAAGGGAGAGAACAATACGTCGTTGAAAATGTAACGACAGAAATTGAAACGATAAGAATTAAGAAACGGCACATAACTTTATTGTTCTTTTTTTTTTTTTTTTTTGGCTTTTTAGTAAAATTTATAGTCTGAAAGATATTGAGGGATAAGCTGAAGAAGGAGAAAGGAAAAATTCGCGACGGCTCTCAGTCTCAGGGCAAAATCAGATAGCTTCTTCCTCTACTGAATTAAAAGTCCAGGGGTAATTTTGCTTCTTTCAGGTTCTGGAAGTCCAAGATAAATAATACTATCTGCAGGAGGAGGGGTTCGGTTAGGCTTCAGGTTTGCAGTTGTCTGGGTGGGGGGCAGGGCAGGGTTGGTGATAAATAATAAATCGGAAAATATTATTATTGGAGAGAGAGTGAGAGAGAGAGAGAGAGAGAAAGATGGGGGCCAGTAGGAGTAGCGATCCGAATCAGGACGGGTCAGATGAGCAGCAGAAACGATCGGAGATCTACACGTATGAGGCGCCATGGCACATCTACGCCATGAACTGGAGCGTCCGTCGGGACAAGAAGTACCGGCTGGCCATCGCAAGCCTCCTGGAGCAGTACCCGAACCATGTGGAGATCGTGCAGCTGGACGACTCAAACGGGGAGATCCGGTCGGACCCGAACCTGTCGTTCGAGCACCCGTACCCGCCGACCAAGACCATCTTCATCCCGGACAAGGAGTGCCAGAAGCCAGACCTTCTGGCCACCTCGAGCGATTTCCTCCGCGTGTGGCGCATCTCCGGGGAGGACGAGGAGTCTGACTCCTCCTCCTCCTCGTCAGTGGAGCTCAAGTCCCTCCTCAACGGCAACAAGAGCTCCGAGTTCTGCGGGCCCCTCACCTCCTTCGACTGGAACGAGGCGGAGCCCAAGCGCATCGGCACCTCCTCTATCGACACTACCTGCACTATCTGGGACATAGAGCGCGAGGCGGTGGACACCCAGCTCATCGCCCACGACAAGGAGGTGTACGACATCGCCTGGGGCGGCGTTGGTGTCTTCGCCTCCGTCTCGGCAGACGGCTCCGTGAGAGTGTTCGACCTGCGCGACAAGGAGCACTCGACCATCATCTACGAGAGTTCGGAGCCCGACACCCCCCTGGTCCGGCTGGGATGGAACAAGCAAGACCCCAGGTACATGGCCACCATCATCATGGACAGCGCCAAGGTGGTCGTCCTGGACATCCGCTTCCCGACCCTCCCAGTTGTCGAGTTGCAGAGGCACCAGGCCAGCGTCAACGCCATTGCCTGGGCTCCTCACAGCTCTTGCCACATCTGCACTGCCGGAGATGACTCCCAGGCTCTCATCTGGGACCTCTCCTCCATGGGCCAGCCGGTGGAGGGTGGCCTGGATCCCATTCTGGCCTATACGGCCGGGGCCGAGATCGAGCAGCTGCAGTGGTCCTCTTCCCAGCCCGATTGGGTTGCAATTGCCTTCTCCACCAAGCTTCAGATACTCAGAGTATGAATATGATGAGCTGTAACATATGACCACTGACCAGGCAGGCAGGCATTCACTTCACTAACTGCTCCAGAGTCCAGTTCGCCATGAATCCAATATCATTGCTCAGCTCAGCAGCTCTTCTGTCTCAACCGTCAGTCAGTAGTCCTCCTTCCTTCCTAGTTCCCAGTTCCCAATTCCCAGTTCCCAGTTCCCAGTTCCTAGTTCCTAGTCATAATTGAGATACTACTGCCTTGCCTTGTTTTGCCCTTGCTCCTTACTTTATTGATGATGATTGATGTCACATTAGCTGAAGTTGAAGCCATATATGCTGCCAGTATTAACTATTGCATTTCATGCTCTTTGCCTTCTAAATTTCTAACGAATATGCATCCTGGTTGATGGTAGTCTTAGAATCCTGCTAATTAAATTTATTGAATTCTAGCTTTTGTTCTTCCGTCTGTCATCTAGATTGCTCAATATTTATTAAAAAATACTGTCATTTCCCCATTTCGGCTATGCTTTTTGTTTCTCTTTTGCCTTGCCTTTTTCATGTGAGAAAGAAGAGATTGCTCGCCTGGGGTGATTAAGACTAAGAATATATTTTGGTAGAAAACTTTATATTGAATAGATTCTGCCTGCACAACTTATTTTAAACATTAGCTGATTTGACCAAGCAATCTGTTTTAGTGAGTTATGCAAGCATGGCATGACAAGTTGCTAGTGAGTTTGTTTCTTCAATTCAAGTGCATATTAATTTGTGTGGAAGGAAGGCTTCAATTTTTCACATTGTAGTGTAAAATTGCATTCCTACCTTCCTATATACCGAATTGAAGATTAAGTAATTGAGAAATGGAAGATGATTCTGTAAAAGATCTCATATTGATTTTTTTTGTTCAATAGAACATATTGAACATCGACAAAGTGAAAATGAAAAACAACAATTTATGAGGGTTGGGTTAGTAGTTTGAATTTCTGAGTTGGATTAGGCTTAGCTTAGTTGAATTAAATATTTTTTTTTAAACTTCTAGGATCTACAATTCTTCCAAGATTGATTTGTGAGTTGGCTGCAATTTTCATTGTAGACCTACTTTTCAGCTACATTGCTGTGAAAGATGGACCTTTTCAAAAGAGAAAAAAAGAAAAACCAATTGGCATCTGCCCTGGACCATACTAAATACCTTTGAGTCTTTTAGTTCTCTGCTTCTTTGCCTTAAGAAGCTGGAGGCTTGTTTAATTTATGTTTACTTTTTAGTCAAGAGCAGCTCAAAAAATCTAGATTGACATTCCTGTGGTCAAGGTCTTTGGGTCCTAGACTAATGTGCTTTCAGAAGCTATGTGCTAGAGTGAGGTTACATTAGTCTAGATGTAAGTAACACTTTCAGTTAGTAGAAAACAGTATCTAAAGCTTACTTTCAGAAGCTATGTGCTAAAATGAGGTTATGCGAGCCTGTTCTAGCTTTCTAACTATGCGGTGTGCTCTCTGTTGTTTATGGAATCCAATCTACGCATGATGCCTAGGGATTTTCGTCTTTTATGTTGTTGTGATCATAAGTTCAATACACAAAACCCTACTTTGAATCTCAAGAAAACTCCCTAGATGGATCTTCAGATCTCAAAAGAAACTCCGTAAACTGTCTAGAAAACTGGAAATGCTCCAACAGTAACACTTTGTCATTGCTGATGCCTTTTGATGTTAGTTTCATTGATACATGAAACAATTACTAGTTCTGTTCAATTATACATTACCAAGTTTACGACACTTTTATACCGGTCTCATTCTGTAATGTAACATGTTGATACAACTTCTGATGGGTTGGGTTGGGTCTATAATTAATATTTGAACTCTATTTCACATAGGAAAATTCGGGAAAGAAGATCTGAACTTTATTGAAGAAAGAATCTATTACAAAGATGTATTTGTTTGGTTACTCACTCTGTTTAGTTGATCAACTTTAATCTCAAGTGAAAGAAGGTGCCCATAGCCATTGCCCGGCCATTCACATCATAATACCATTGACTATCACAGTAAAAGTAGGGTCGCAACCGTGTTCACTGAAAAACAAATGGATTTTGAAAGCTACCCATTGAAGAGCAAATGGATGTTTTGGAAGCTACCCACTGAAAAACGAATGTATGTTCGGTGACTACCCATAGAACGACCCTCATTTCGTTATGGAGTTGGAATTTGTTCGGTGGGAAGCCACCAAACCTCTATTGCAGTTTCAGTGACCAAACAGTTGGCAAAATCCGTATTGAAACGAATGAGGGTTTGTTGAGGAACATGTGTTGCAGCTATGTCTTTATATTTAACAACAGAACACTGTTAGCTTAAATTAGCCTAATAACAATTAAAAATCAAACACCATTGATACTTTTCTTTTTCCATTTTTTCAAATCTTACGCTTTATCTTCTCTAACTCTTTCTCTCCACTTCGCTTCTCCTCCTCCGCGTTATTAATGTTTGCCGTTGTATGTGCATGCCAAAGCATAGGAGGGACAATGCTTGGATCCTGACTGGTATGTAAGTTGGGCGACTAAGAGAACCAGGCTCAGGCCCAAAGGCCCAAAGGCCTAATGTCCAAAATTAGTACAAAATGAAAGAAGAAAGTGAGAGTGAGAGAGATGATGGGAAATGCAAGGAAAGGAATAGTGTATAGGAGGAGGAATAGGAGTGGAGGGGAGAGGGGGACACAAACACAGAGCTTTAAACCTCAGCCATTCGTTGAATGATAGGCTATCCATAATCTCATCCTCTCTTGGTTTTATTTCAGTCACTCCCAACACTTGCTCTCTCATCATCTCTATCTTATTAAAATGAATATATAACGACCTTGCAAATTTTCTGACTGTCTTGCTACCACTTCTACTACTGCTTGCTTAAGCTATAGGCTAGCTAGCTACCTCCATATCCTCCATCCTCCATCCTCCCTCGCAAGGATGGCTTCGGCTATTCTTTCTGCGGCCAAACCATCTCTTCAGGTTCATGCGGCTTCTGATTTTCATGTGTCACTCATTTTATGAATATATATATATGCATGCTTGCTCTTTCTCTATATCTATATTCTATATAGATATATACATATGTATACATGTATGTCTATGCAAGTGAAGAGTTAAGTTAAAGCCGTACCGTCCTTGTTGTGCATTCATTGCTAGTGTTTTATATTGTTATATTGTCATCAACAACTTATCTGATGCTCAAATGATAAATTTCTCCATTTCCAGGCAAATGGAAAGGGATTTGCAGAATTCTCAGGTCTCCGCACCTCATCAGCTTGCCTTCCTTTTGGAAGGAAGACCTCAGACGATTTGTTTTCAGTCATTTCCTTCCAGACCTCTGCTGTGAGTGCTGCTTTTCTTGTCCTCTTAATTATCCCACCGTCCATTTATCTATTTATTTACCATACCAATACATATATATACACACGTTTCCATGATCATAAAAAATACTGCTACTTAAATAATTATATAACGTTTTAGCACAATGGTTGGTTTGGTTGACCACATTTGACATGGAAGGTTGACTCATGTCATGTCTACTTGTAAATGGTAAATGGTAAATGTGATTGCGTTCGTAATCTGTCCTTGTAATTGGGAATGAATTGAAGGTGGGAAGCAGCGGAGGATACAAAAAGGGCATAGCAGAGGCGAAGCTAAAGGTGGCTATAAATGGATTTGGAAGAATTGGAAGGAACTTCTTGCGGTGCTGGCATGGGCGCAAGGACTCCCCTCTTGATGTCGTTGTCATCAACGACACTGGAGGCGTGAAGCAGGCCTCCCACCTCCTCAAGTACGACTCTACACTTGGAATCTTCGATGCTGATGTCAAGCCCGTTGGTGATAATGGCATCTCCGTTGACGGCAAGGTCATCAAGGTCGTGTCTAGCCGCAATCCCCTCAACCTGCCTTGGAAGTAAGTCCTCCGGTTCACCTGGCTATGATCTTCGAGCTTCGAGCTTAGCAAATAAACTTGCTAGCTAGCAAACACTGCCACTGCCACTGTCTTTGTCTTGTCTTGTCTTGTCTTGTCTTGCATGATATATAGAATGACTGAATGAATACAAATTCACTGCACTGCAGGGACTTGGAGATTGACCTAGTGATAGAAGGCACTGGTGTGTTTGTGGATAGGGAGGGTGCAGGAAAGCACCTACAGGCAGGGGCCAAGAAGGTGCTTATCACTGCCCCTGGAAAGGGCGACATCCCCACCTATGTGGTCGGGGTCAATGCTGACGCCTACAGCCCAGATGAAACCATCATTAGCAATGCTTCTTGCACCACCAACTGCCTTGCCCCCTTCGTCAAGGTCCTTGATCAAAAGTTTGGTAAGTTACTTTCAATTCACACCACACCACCACCAGTATGAAAAAGAATAATCAATCAATCAATCAATCAATAGTAATGTTAGGCTAGCTCATCCTTGAGTACTGTACATGGACAGGCATCATCAAGGGCACCATGACCACCACACACTCGTACACCGGTGACCAGAGGCTACTTGATGCCAGCCACCGCGACCTAAGGCGTGCACGAGCTGCTGCTCTGAATATCGTTCCCACTTCAACAGGTGCAGCAAAGGCCGTGGCTCTAGTCCTTCCAAGTCTAAAAGGCAAGCTAAATGGCATTGCCCTGCGTGTGCCCACCCCAAATGTGTCTGTGGTCGATCTTGTTGTCCAAGTCACGAAGAAGACCTTTGCAGAAGAAGTGAATGCTGCTTTCAGAGACAGTTCTGCAAAGGAGCTCGCAGGTATCCTTTCTGTTTGCGATGAGCCCCTTGTTTCTGTCGATTTTCGGTGCACAGATGTCTCCTCCACAGTTGACTCATCATTGACAATGGTCATGGGAGATGACATGGTCAAGGTCATTGCTTGGTACGACAACGAGTGGGGTTACTCACAAAGGGTTGTTGATTTGGCTGACATCGTCGCCAACAACTGGAAGTGATGATCAGATCATCATTCTAATTTTCTACTCGCCATTCCCTCATCATCTCTATGTTTTTTGTTTCTCCCTAACCTCTGCCTTAATTTCTACTTTTCTCTTTTCTTTTCCAATTTATATTTATAATGAGAATATTGTTCAAACCATTTTCTCTTGCTTGTCATCATGCAAGATCGTGTTGATGCAGATGAAGTTTCTAAGCATGTACTCTTGCTGGCTTCATTATTTTCAAAATCTGTTTCTCTTTTGTTTTCCGTTGCTGAACCCAAAGGTGGCTTTGGGTCGGAGTTAAGTTATGATTTTGATTCAGCAAATCAGGCACATAAAACAGTAAACATCATAAATATATTGAAAACTAAGGGCTGTTTGATAACAAAGGAGAAATTATATATGAACTGGAATATGACCACATAGTATATTATATGTACACCTATTATAATACGAGCAGAGTATGATGTTCGTATCTCCCAATCTTATGATTTAGTATAACAAATATCCACTTATATTAAAACACCCAATCTTACGATTTAGTATAACAAATATCCACTTATGTTAAAACACGTGGTACTCAGTGACTATAATTAATCTTAACAATGATCAAAATTGAGTTACCTGAGAATTTTGATTTCTGTACTGCATGTACCTTAATCAAAGAGCTTATCAGACTAACGAAGCGATAAGGTGCACATAACCCAAAACAATTAGCAAACGAATAAATTCATCTTAGAGGAGCCATACTGTTGTAAATTCGTCCTGGCACCACCCAGGGTCCAGCTCCAGACTCATTTTCGATATTGTATATGCATAGCCACTATTATAAAATACGAAGGGCTGCCTGAAGAATATACTCTGGAGATTCATTGCCACTAATCTGGGTGTAGAAAAACAGACATTGAAAATTCATAGTGAATACTGATCATCTAATTTCACATATAAGTCCCCTTTGAAAGAATAATACATCATTGGTCTTACAAAAGAATTGAACAAAAATAATACATCTTGAAAACACTACAAACCATTTACAGCAGTAATGGCCAAAATAAAAATACTAGTATATATATAAAGTTTCTAATTGAATTAAATTTTCAAGACGAATAAATCATGAAAATGCAACATCTTCGGGAATATATGCACAGTGCTAAAACCTTTGAACATCCTGACTGTCATAACTTCAGGAATCACACTAGAAGCCTAGAACAACCAGTGTCTCCTCCTTGGCTTCTGTTGAATTGGAGCATCTGCAAAGACGACACACAACTAAGATATAATCAAAGCCATAGTCCACACTTGACGCCTATAAAATGATATTTTTAATGCAAATAAAAAAAATTAGAAAATGAAAATAGAAAAACACCTCGGATTTCATATAGTGAATTGTAATGAACCTCAGACCAAAAACTCAGCCACAGTTCTGCATAATTTTGAAATTGTCAGAATTTGAAATTGAAATAGATGAAAGAAGAATATTGGCAAATGGAAATCCAACAGCCAGTTAAAGAATGTGCGCAAAGTTTGTTGATAGAAATGGGAAATGTGATAAAAGAAATTCGAAAATTAAGTCCAATCCCTTGAAGAAAAAAGTTGCCCAACGCCCATAGTTTCATGGCTCTTTCTTGTTATAAATGTATTTCTTTTTGTACAAATTAGATTTAAAACATAACCCTTATGCATGAAGTCTCTCCTTGCCATACATTATATTCTCTCTTGCTCAGTTATACCAAGTATCCTAGAGATAGCGGAGATCTTGGTTGATAAAAATTTTACGCAAGGTATGCATTCTTTTGACACTGATACCATATTTAGGATTACTACTTATCCTCCTAGAAGTCCATAATATGATTCTAAATGTTTCCTAATTCCTTCAGTTCCTTCATTTTTTTTTCAGATAACTTCCTCCCGCTACCAGCCTCTCTTTAGTGATAATTTCATTCAATAAGTTTCACATCTTTAATCATGAAACTCTCAATCACCACAAGCAGTTTCCAGGGTTTCAGCCTAGAGACACTTCACAGATACAGGCCAAGTTTCCACAATACCATAAATTAATGCCTGAGCCATCCTATTTTTTATCAAACCAAAGTAGTTCTAAAATATGAGTCAAAGCCCACCTGTCTCCATAATAGGCAGCCCCTAATCTCAGAATTGGACAGTGCCAGGAGACTAGCGAGTCTTTTATTTTTCTTTTTTCTTTTTTCTTTTTGGTGATGCAATATTAACCTAATACTATGAGCATAAAAGAGAAAAGATACTTCCATCTTACCACGTTTTGGCGGCTGGTACTGAGGCATAATTTCAATAAAGCAAGTATCTCTGAATGATGTCAAAAGGCAAATCTTCGCTTCAAACTGCATTCAAACAAGCAGGATTACAGAACTACACGAAAAGACATTGAACAACATGACAACAAGACATTTGGGAAGTGGTCTGCACTGATTTATATGTATATCTTCCTAAAAATGATATTATCTAATAATATTTGTACTATTGCATCATTTTCCAATGCTCTTTTTTATTTGTGACTAAAGATTCAATATAATCAAGTTCCATCTCACAACGAAATATTTCCTGTTAAATTGGCAAAAGTTACTTGATGCCATCATCAATAAATTTTGATAGATACCAGACATCATATAATTTGGTAAGATATATGCCTATATTTCCCATTGACCTACAACCAATATCTATTAATTAATTGGGTCTTTTTTGAATAACCCAAAATACAATGAACCACAATTAATTAATAGAACTAAGTCAATGCCACCACATTCACTCTCTAAAGTAACACAAACGAAAGATTCATTTTTTCCCATCCCTAACAACGTTAAGTAACAGAAACCACAGTGACGCTCTAACATAAAGCTTTTGGGATACAATGGTATCAAAGTTTTGGTTCCAAAAAGGCTTGCGTTCAAATCCTTCATTGGCCATTTCCCCATCCCTAACAACGTTAAGTAACAGAAACCACAGTGACGCTCTAACATAAAGCTTTTGGGATACAATGGTATCAAAGTTTTGGTTCCAAAAAGGCTTGCGTTCAAATCCTTCATTGGCCATTTATTTGTTAAGTCATTGTAATGCAGAACAGGGCTGCACATGAGGGGATGCTAGCTTGATATACAAAATCTTGTCCCATAACTCAATCTTTTGGGTATAAACAACCTACATATTAGAAGACCTCAACATTGAGAATGAAAAAGCAATGAACCCAGTCTATATTCAACTGTATCAAACCATTGATGAGAGCCTGTGACGCAGAGCCAAGTTTAAAGTGAGACCAATAAGCCAATCTGAGTACCAAACACCACATTATTGAGTCATTGTACTCTTCTTTTAATTAATGCTCTCCACACACGTAATATAGGCCTATTATTTTAGAGTTTTATATTCTTTTAGACATTATACAATACGCTTTGTACTCTTGAGGGAAAAAAGAAATATGGCGGATAAAATTATTCATGTTTGGGTGCAAATCAACCAGAATTGAAAATATAAAATATTATAAGAACGATATGCATATCAATCTACAGAAAACAATTTCGACCCATTGGGACAACATTAACGGACCTTGTCAGCTGCTGCTTGCAAGGTAACATGATCCCCCCATTCACTAGATCTGTATCATGTGATAAAGTTAAAGTGAATACAAATCTCCTCCACCAGGAAAAATAGATGAAACTAAACCAGCAATTAAATTCATGCGTACTCGCAGAAGCTTATTTTATCAAATAACAGAACTACTGACCCTAAACAATTTAACATACTTTGCCATTTTCTTGTAATAGCGTTTGTACTTCATAGGGACATAGCCTTCATACAAAGAACGATAGTCTTTGAGCTGAAAACAGGAAAAGTAGTGCAAGATAAGCAAACTCAAATTAGCCATTCACTTTTTTTCGCCTTATAAACTAATGAAAAAGTTGGTGACAAAATGTTGCACTGAAAGGTCATTATAGAATATAGATTCATCATGATAATTATGTTTGTAGAGAGAAGGAACATAGGAAGCAGTGGTTGTCAGAGCAAAAAACAGTAGCTTTGGCATCCAGGGATTACAGCAATGGTAAAGATTGTGATTGCAAAGGTAGTAACACTGGTGGATGAAGTTTTAATTTAATCAAATATGAACAGCCACAAATAGCAGTGATAATATTTTTCAGTAATCTCTGATTTTTTTTTTCTTCAATTTCTCATAATTAGTAATCTCTGATTTTCTCCTCAGTTTCAGTAATCTCTGGTTCTCTCATTAATTAATCTTTCATCTAAAATCAATGGATCTCCAGCCCAATTTTCTAAATCCAAATTCACCTTTTAAATTTTGTCCCTCTACAGGAATTGGGTACTTCAAAATTACACTCTACCTGTTTCACAATCTCTTTCCGGACATGCTTGTGATACTCCGGAGACTTGTACATTTGATCGGAAAGGGAACGAAACTGCACCCAAAAAAAAAACAAAGAGAGAGAATAAATCAATATAAAACAAAGGATAATATTACCTATTACTTCAGAAATGCAGATACCTGACAGTTTCCATCACCAGAAACCTTTACTTCGTATAAACCATAGACATGTAACCTGTGAGGAAGTAATAAGAGATTCACTAAACTATCACCCAAGAAGAAGTTAAACAGACGTATGTAGAGTGCAAAATAGATATTCTAGTCCACTAAGATGCTGGACTGAGAGTTGTATATCACACTCAATGCCTAAGCCCACAAGGTACATGTGTTTTTCATGTGGGGTAACAAGTCTGGGCTGAAGTTCACTCCAAATGTGGTTCATATCAGAATATCATAATTGCATAAATGAGATACTCAAACACCTGTTAACTAAAAAGAAAAGCAAAAGTAAATTCATCCCAGAACTTCCATGTTGATAATAGTTCTAACTATTATAATACAAGTTTGATTTTTGTACGACCATCAACCCACGGGTAAACTACCCCCTCCAGGAATAATATCAACATTGGCAACAAACAGGGTTAGTTTTAGCCTCAATACATAATATTTACGACTATCATTTGCAGTACTCATGTGGTTTTCCATGAGTTACAAATATGCTTATTTAAGGTGAGGTTTTCCAATACCTCTAGCCATTTCTGTGTGTGTGCTTTTACGTTGTTACCTTTGAAATTTGACTTCTTTTAC